CAAGATGCTCCTCTCTTATCGAATACATAGTCTTCAAGGTAAACTCTCATGGATACTGAGCGCTGGGAGTGGAATTCTCCCCTCTCTTCCGGGCAGACCCTGAAGTAGTAATCATAGTTATGGCGAAATTAGCAAACTGAAGCGGGAACCTACACAAACGCTTTGGTGCTAAGGTAATGAAGGACTCGATGCCGAAATAGAAGGATAGCTATCTAAAATAATGGGATCTCCCAAGAAGCGGGAGCAACCCCATATATATGTGGGGAAACAGCAACGGTCCGCCTACCCAAGTTGGGCCCCAGGAGGCCAATGACTTCAATACGAGTTCCGAGGTGGTACTCGACCTCGAGGACCTCCATAGAGAAGAAAAATAAGTGCTTCAACTTTTGTCCATGAAGGCTCGATCCTAATACATCGCCTGAAAATGGGCAACCCCTCATTGGGGACGTATCTGCAACGTCTTAATACACTATCTAACATCAAGTTCAAAGTAAATCTCCAAGTACCCGAAGCTGACCTTCACTTAGAGACCGCACTCAAAATTTTGAGGTTCGATGCTCTATCTTCATGAGACTCGAGGGTCCCGATGACTCAAGTCTATTGGACCGCTTCAGGCTTGGTCCGGGGAATAATAGTGGGCTCGGAAAGGAACCATTCCTATCAGCCAAAGACCAGAAAGAATACTCACACCCGAGTTGGACATTGACGATCGTCAATGGAGGAATACATTCAGAATCCCCATAAGTGCACAAGAATATACACGAATATGGCAAGTATCAAAGGCAGAAGTCAAGAAAATATCTTTATATTCATAAACATTTATTTACAACAGCCCTCGAGGGGTCCTTACATATGATTACAAAAGCTCGCAAGGGGTCCTTACACAAAAACGAAGAAAAAAAGGGGTGCACATACGTAGTAAAAGCCTAGAGCCTAGTCTACTCTCGAAGGTCCACCTCTTGCAACAACGCCTTCAGACATTCTCTCTTCGGGCATGCATCCTCAAAGACAATATCTTCCGAAGTGTTATCTCCTCATAAGCCTTATCCCGGCCTTCCACACTGATATCCCTAAAGGATAAGTCGAGAAGTAGGGAGGGATGAAAAAATGCCATAGCCTACCAAAGGTCGAGGACCATCACTGGCCAAGACAAACTTGAAGAGACAACAGTCCTGGCGAATGTCGGCCTCGCTTGCACGGCTACTTTGAATCCACTTCTTGGGACATTGAGTTGTGCAAACTACCAGCCTAGGGCGAAGCGCCACGCCGAGCCGGGGTATGAAGGTGAGCAGCGGTGTATAATCCGAGCTCCCCTATGAGCAGCGGTGTACAGTCCGAATAATTTTCTAAAATGGGGAAAGTCGATCCCTTGTATAGCATCATCCCGAGCCAATAGCAACAATAGTAGCAGGCGTAATTACAACAATATCGATGACAAGACGACATAATCTCGCTCAACAAAGGGAAGCTCAGGCAAAAGGCCACCACACGACCGATGGGAATGCTTCCAAACAACCTTAAGGCCGTGAACTCCAAACATGGTGATCAACAATAGAGAAAGATGGCGAGAAGAAAGGGATGAATGAATAGAGGAAGGCACTTGGATAGAAAAATAACTCTAGAATACACCCATTTATAGGAGATAATGACACAGTCATCAATGCTTTTGGAAGACTGACCGGCAGGTGCGATTACTTCATTCTTGAAGAACTGAATCGACGGCGGTACTGTCACTTTGAAGAACGGGAATTGATAATGCATTGAATAGAGTTGAAAAGACAAGTCAATGGGATGTCCCGCGTATCGTGAAAATTTACGCCATAGATTGCATCATCGGCATGACGTCGTCACAGGAAGCCCGAGGTGTCGGGCATCAGAATCGTTCACCATCACTTCATTCTAGGAAACACAGAGACTATCTCTATTCGGCAAAATAAGGGGGGACCAATTTCTTGCTATTAGTTCATTTCAGAAGAATACCTCGAGGCCTTGAGGACGCGAAGCTGTGACCGAGTTCCCTCCCTAGAAGCTCGTCGAGGCCTGACCTTAAGGGGATGCCGATCGGGGTTAGAGTAAAAGTGGGGAATTCCCAAAGCATGCGGCTAAGTTTGACAAAGCGGGCCTACCCAGATCCTGTATCAAGGTGTCACGTCTAGCCGTCCCATCTCCATACCTTTACAATTAATGTATTTTGTACTATGTTGGATTTTACCTCATATACAAAGGGGATCCTTACCACTTTGTAAGGGGCTGCTGTTGCTCCAACTATTCTACACGAAATATACATGAACTATTTCTTTTCTCCCTAACATATTCTTTCAATATTATTGCTCTTATTTGTTGGCTTCATACTTGTTCTTCATTTACTGCTTATCATTGGACATAAAGAGACTACCTTAATTATATCCTAACTGTTAGCCCTTTCTCGATTATCCCCGATAGCTCGAGCCCGAGCACAAGCATCGACCTAGAGGCCCTTCATCGGTCGGTCTGAGGCCCGAATAGCTAACTCCTCGGTTTGATTATAACTCCATTTTAGCTCGCATTCATCTTTTATCTTCACACATCTAGCATCAACTGTATTAACAACTAGCATAAAAATAGATCACGTATTTTTAGAGTCCCATCAACAAATTTAATTGTTATTACCATTTTCATGGTAAACAAGGAGGAACTAAATCAGTTTGAAAGAAACAAAGTCTGTCACCTGGTTCCCAGTCCAAAAGATAGAACAATCATTGGAACTTGGTGGGTGTTCAGGAACAAGCTACATGACCAAGAAAATATTACCAGGAATAAGGCAAGAGTAGTTGTACAAGGTTACAATCAAGAAGAAGAGATTGACTATGAGGAAACGTTTCCTCATGTGGCAATAATGGAGGCAATATGTATGCTCATTGACTTTCCATCATATAAGGGTTTCAAACTATGTCAAATAGATTTGAAGAGCGCCTTCCTAGATGGCACTTGAAAGAGAAAGTGTTTGTGTGATAGCCTCTAGGTTTTGAAAGCCATGTCTTTCCAGAACACGTGTACAAACTGGACAAGGCATTATACGACGTAAAATAGGCCCCAAGGGCATGGTATGTGTGCACGGTGAAATCTGGAAGACCAATTTCTCCTCGACTGAATACCTGGAAGGGTGATCCCAAAAGAAGGGTGATCCCGAAAGCCCGAGATCTTGAGCCAGTCACTTCCCTCGATATCGGGCGGTACCCCGCGAAGGATAATGCCGACCAAGCCCTCAGTAAATGCAGGGATCTCTCGAGGAGTGCACCCGGGGTTGATTAGGACTACTCAAGTGGTTCGGCATCAGCCCATGCACGCATCACGAAGCTAGCAGGTTGTCCCATCCTATTTCTTGTATCACGCAACGTATTTTGTATGAAGATTGGACTTCCCCCTTTCTATAAAAGGGGAGTCGCTAACACCTTGTAAGGGCAGAGCTCCAACCATTCTACAAAAGTGCAATAATATCTTATCTCTCTTTCTCCTCTCTAACTTGCTTATCCTTGCTTGTTCAAAGTTGTTTAACTTCGTTGTCTTCTTGTTTGTTCTTTGTTTATCACTCGGTATTGGCCCGAGGCCGCCTTAATATTTATCGCTCTCCTATTTATTCTTCATTATATTGCTCAATATTGGTCGTAAAGAGCCTTGATTAATCGTATCCTTAATTGTTATACCATTCTCGTCTGTCCCCGATAGCTAGAGCTCGACTCGAACCTCAACCCCGAGGTCCTCACCGACCGATTCTGCATCCGGGCAACAGGCTCCTTCGGTTCGATTACTGCCTCGATTTAGCTCCCATTTCATCGTTAAACTTCACGTTCTTAGCCTTATCTTCTCTAACTATTAGCTCGAGAATAGATCACATATTTTTAGAATCCCATATACAAATTTTGTTGTTGTTACCATTTTCACGGTAAACAGTTTGGCAACCACGGTGGGGCTTAAAATGTCTGGCTCGGTAAACGTAATCGAAAATGACAACCTCAAAAATCACGGGGAAAATGGCGTGGTCATCCCAGTCGCCGAAGCACCACTACAAAATCCTGACAACACGCCTGGACCGATTCCAGCGGATGCGGACTCACAGGACGCACATCAAGTCGACGAAACTTCTCACACCAACAGGAGCGTACGACACAATGACCGACAGGAAGCCGAAAGAACACCGGCCCGGGAAGAACAGGAAGTTAGTCTTCATGTTATTTTTGAAATGTTACCGGCACAGTAGCTGGCCATTGCTCAGTTGCAAAGCCATCCGAGAACCCCCAGCACAGCAACACCGGAGATAGCTCCTCCCATCGAGCAAGTACCCGAAAGGTCAAGCAATAAAGGGTCAGTAGCTGACCCCGCCATACCAAAGATGCTCGAGGACCTCACCAAGAGGATCGAGTTAGGTGAGAAGATGATTGCAACTAACGATAAAAAGGTCGAGACCTACAATTCCAGGGTGGATCAAATCCCGGGAGCACCCCCGGTCCTAAAAGGTTTGGATTTGAAGAAGTTCATACAGAGGCCACTCCCAGAGGAAGTAGCCCCAAAGCCCATTCCTAAAAAATTCAGAATGCCGAAACTCCCTAAGTACAACGGTACCACCGATCCCAACCAACACGTTACTGCTTATACCTGCGTAGTAAAAGGCAACAACATAAAGAATGACGAGATCGAGTCCATATTGCTGAATAAATTCGGAGAAACGCTTTCAAAGGTGGCCATGATGTGGTATCACAACTTGGCTCCCAACTTCATAGATTCATTCACCATGTTGGCAGACTCCTTCGTAAAGCCACATGCTGTACCCATCAAGGAAGTCTGATGTTTTCAAAATTAAGCAGAGAGAGAACAAGATGTTGCGAGAATTTGTGTCTCGCTTCCAGATGGAACTGTCGCCAGTCTCCAACGACTGGGCGGTACAGGCCTTCACCCAAGGCCTGAACGAACGAAGCTCAGTGGCCTCAAAGCAGCTGAAGTAGAACCTAATCGAATACCCAGCCATGACCTGGTCGGACGTCTACAACGAGTACCAATCGAAGATCAGGGCCGAGGATGACCAACTGGGAGCCTCTTCAGGCTCAGTATACCTAAGCAGACTCTTGGTAAAAGAGTCGAAACTAAACAAAGAAAGGTACCAACCGTACCTCGAGGACAGAAGGAATACCCCGAGGCACAACCTACCTCGCAATGATCAAATGATGGATCGAGGGAAGGACCCTCGAGGGCTCGCCCACAGAACCAGGTTCGATCGAATCATGGCCCCACCGAACGCGCCCCACTTATCGGAATATAACTTCTGCATCGACGTTTTAGCGTGTTCGCTATCAGCAAGATCAGAGACGCCAAGTGGCCCAGACAAATACAGTCAGACCCTTCACAGAGAAATTACAACTTAGTATGCGAGTTCCACAACATGCATGGTCACAGGACCGAGGATTGCCATCAGCTACGGGAGGAAGTGGCTCAACTGCTTAACAAGGGGCACCTTTGGGAATTCCTTAGTGATCGGGCCAAAAATCAGTTCCAAGACAGGGAGGCAACTAAGAAAAACGAGGAAAATGAGTCGCAACACGTTATCTACATGATCATGGGAGGTGCCGATGCCCCACAGAACCCCGTAATGAGAAGGACAGAAATATCCATCACTAGAGAAAAACGGACTCAGGGATACATCCCCGAAGACGCCCTCGCATTCAGTGAAGAAGACACCGAGGCCCTATCCCAACCCCACAACGACGCCCTGTAATCTCCTTTCTTTTAAATTCTTTTCAGATAAAATGTGTACTCGTGGATCTAGGTAGCTCGACCAATATTATTAGGTCGAGGGTGATAGAACAACTCGGACTACTTGAACGGATCGTGCCCGCCACTTGGGTCCTCAATGGGTTGAACATGGCAACGAAACAACGAAGGGAGAAATCGTCCTTCCGATTACCGTGGCCGGCACAACCCAAGACACCAAATTACATGTCATCGAGGGAGATATGAGGTATAACACCTTGTTTGGGCGGCAGTGGATACACTGCATGAGAGCAGTACCATCCACCTTCTACCAGATGATAAAATTCCTGACAAAGGACGGAATTAAAACAGTCTACAGGGAACAATACGCGGCAAGGGAAATGTTTGCAATAAACGGCGTGGTACCAGCGCTCATACCCTCGCTCCCGATTAAGCTAATAGGCGAATCAAGTCTCGACCCCGGTCGAGTTTGGCAAAACAAAGTAGAAATCCACGACGCATATCTGCTCCCGAGCAGTCATAATAAGCCGATCCAAAGGCGCCACTAGCCTATCTCATTTCAAGGTACAACCATTCTTTTTATTTTATTTCGGATAGGAAATCAACCATCGTGCAGGCACCTGACCGAAGATATCGGAATGCTAACACTATCAGGAGGCCTCAAAACCCCAAAAGCACGCCCGTTGCACTCTTTTCCTTCGATCGAGTTTTTATCCCAAAAAAGGGTTTTTACCAGCAAGGTTTTTAATGAGGCAACGTCTGTGAGCTGCTCAAGGGGGAACTCCACAAATTGCTCGAAGCCACTCTTACGACCAACTTTCAAGCGGCGGGAGGCATTCCCTCAAGAAGCGAAATGATTCGAAGGGGTTGCGGAAACACCAATCAAGGTTCTTACAGGGAGACGATGTATCGGGCCAAACGGTCGATGTAGTCAAACCCCCACCAAACGGAAGCAAGTACTATTGTATCGGGCAATCAAAAAACACCTTTTTTATGAAAAGAGAGAAAGACTCTTTCTTAGAGTAAGGCAACATCGAAAATCATCGAACCATCCAAACCCGACCTGATATAGATCGACTCAACACAACAATACATGTATTGCACCAATGGATCGGAAAATATCTCCCGACATCTCATTCTCCGAAAATGCAAATCACTGTGTACTCTCGACAAGATCCTCTCCACCAAACGCGTCCCGAGATACTCGGATACTTAGCATCAGCAATTCATCACCCACCCACACGACCCCAGGGTCGGAACTCCGAGCTCATAAAGCCCATACAAGGCAACTATGAGCTCACGAAAAGTGGTCTTCACGCTTAAACAAAATTGATGACTCGGAGACTGTCGTTCCTCGACAATTGCCATACGCTGGAAAACCCGAAACTGTAAGACCCTTAGTGGGCAGCCTCGACATAACTAGATCTATTCTACATTACACAAACTATAAGACCTCAACAGGCATGACAAACTATAAGACCTCAACAGGCATGACAAACTGTAAGACCTCAACAGGCATGACAAACTGTAAGACCTCAACAAGCATGAAAATCCCAAATTTTAGGTTATATGTCGCATTTGTAAGAATCCCTAAAGGGCATACCCTCGGCGTAGACACCTAAACTATTACTCGAGATCAAAAATGGCTACGGCCAAACACATATGACTATGGTCAAAATGGTTGATACAGCTAAAATAACGCGACTCGGGGACGCCCGGCTATCACTAAAATCACAGGCCACTACTCCGAATATACTTAAGAAAGAACTGGTTAAAATAGGCTTCCCTCAATAGGCAAAAACGATCTCCGACCATGTCGGCTCCAAATCGTAAAAGCGTCGATCTACTCGACCTAAGAGCTATGAACCTTTCGAGGTGCTCAAAACATCGCCGACAACGACTTGAAATCGAGGTTCTTCTAGAACCAACGACGGGTCAGGCAAAAATCTTTCAAAAAGACCTTAACGAGCGGAAAACAAAACCTACAAAAAGCCCACGGGCAAAAATAGCGTAAGATCCATTGTCGCCAGTTAAGCAAGCCTACGGGCCACATATTAAAAGGTCTCAATGACCAAGCAGCGTAAGAGCCATTGTCGCTAACCAAAAATTGACAACTTGAGGATCAAAGTGAGCTCGAATCGTAACCCGATTCGGATACCGGATCCAAAATAGTTAACTAAGCAAGCCTACAGGCCACATATTAAAAGGTCTCTACGACCAAACAACGTAAAGGTCATCTCCATCCGCCCATGTAGGCAGAAAAAATGCTTAAGGGTCAATTAAAGCTCGAATTGCAATGCAACTCGGAGACTGGACCCGGAATAGCTGAACTACCAAATGCCTAAGGGCACGGCATAAATGCCACTGTCAACCAGCCAAGTGAGCCTCCGGGCCACACGCTTGTAAGGTCGCTTTGACCCGAAGCACAAAAGGCCATCGCCATCTGTCCTTGAAGGTAGAAAAGAACTTGAGGTCAATTAAAGCTCGAATTGCAACACGATTTAGAGACTGGACCCAAAATGCCTAAATTACAATATGCCTAAGGGCATGGCATAACTGCCACTGTCACCGGCCGAGCAAGCCTCCGGGCCACGCGCCTGTAAGGTCACTTCAACCCGAAGCATAAAAGGCCATCGTCGACCACCCACATAGGTAAGAGAGAACTTAAGGGTCAAACTAAAGATCGAATCGCAATAGGACTCAGAGACTGGACCCGAAATAGTCAAAACAACAAGGAGCCCAAGGACGAGAAATGAAGGCCACCATTGTCCGCCCATGCAGGCAGGAAAGAACTTAAAGTCTAGTTAAAACTTGAATCGCAATGCGATTCAGAGACTAGATCCAAAATAGCTGAAACAGCAAAATACCCAAGGGCAAAAAGTGAAGACAATCACCATCTGCCCGCACGGGCACAAAAGATCGAAGGACAAGAAAGCTCAAATAAAGGAATGATTCAAAGACCGAGCCTAAAATAGCCAGGCAACACATTGAGGCCCCAACACCTGGTCGCATCAAGGATCGCGCTTGAAAGCCCCTCGGCCTGCCTAATCTGCTCCGAATCCGCAAGGATCCTGCCAAAACACGGAAGCCAGCCCACCAAATCGAAGGCGATACGGGAAGAGATACAAAAAAGTAAAAACTTCAAAATTTCTCTCATTTTATATACGCGTGAAGATCGTTTTCCGTCTACAAACATGCTCTACATACAACAAAATACAAAGTTGTAAAATCTACACTCCACCCCTAAAGGGTTACGGCCTATCGGCCCCAGCCTCGCACTTCGTGGCATTAACAATGAGCAAATCGGGCATCACACCCGACGCCCTTTACTCGAACGAATCCTGCTAAAAAGGCGGAACCCCTGGCATGGGTCTCCTCAAAGTGCCTACCTCGAGGATCTATGGCGAGCACTTCCCTCGAAGGCTTATCCCAACCCGATTCAATCGTCGGTGACAAGTCGCCACTCCTTCATCATCCTCGACCAGCTTAGTACTATACCAATCTGGGCACCGATTGTTCTCAATCTGATTTTTTGGGGAATCAAGCTACAACTTCACAATCATGCGCACTCATATCGAAGCTCGAAGCTTGCATTTGATACTTCAAGTATTCCTAGATCGAACGGCTTCGCTCCTAATATCAAAAAGGCAAAACGCCTACCACAAGAGGACTTATGCCTCACCAAAAGATTTCTGTAATACAGGCTCCGATATTTCACGAACCGCCAGTGCAATGACTCGATCCCTCTTTCCCCTCACCAAGAAGCCCAATGGGCCTACCCTCGTCCAGGGCCCTCCAAAGTATAGCCCCTTGACGAATCAGCTCAAAGTATGGGTCTGTTCGGCCTTACAAAGGGAAAACCCTATAAGAAAGAGAAGACCCGAGATACGGGGGAATCATGCTGAAACTTACCACGAGGTGAAGCCGACAAACTTACTCGACGATCAAGAACCTTGCTGATGGACCAACACTTGATGGCCCAAAGGAACTGCTGCTCCAGAACCAAGGACTCCAGGAATGCTAGGCTCGGATAATGCACCCTCCTCGAGAATGCAGGACCGTCTCGCCCCGATAAAAGCTCCTTCATGATTATGAAGCACATATCTCATCTATCGCCATGCCCGACCTTTGTCGTGCCCCAAATAAGAAGCTGTTAAGGGCATGATCCACCAGCATCACAAAATCAACAAATCCCGAGGATCCTCGAGAAGTGGAAGCAGCCTCACAATTGCATACGAAAAGGGCCGGAATGAGTCAACACCAATCAAAGGCACCGACCATCAGCACCGCCTCCGGTCTCGAGGTAATGCTCAACCCCGAAGACCTCTGCCATAGCAAGACAACGCCCCAGCAGACCAACAATTCCTTCACCAAATTGGCATTCAGCCTCAAGAGGCCTCCGCCAAAGAGGGCAAGTTTACGAAGAAATGGGTGTCCCCAACAAGCGCCCGTGCAAAATAGATTCCGGGCAATGACTAGGACGGCCCGAAACACGGCCAAGCCTTCATTTGGAGATCGCTTCCAGGAAGTCACCGTCGTCCCAAGACTACGAGCCCTTAGGAAAGCCTCTTCTCAACGGCCATTATGATGCCCGAAGACGTCATCACATTTTCACGCAGGAAAAGGGTCCCGGCGGACCAAGGTTATTAGCCTAATTCGGGTCCGGTTCGGGGAATCACAAAAGTTCCCACGCAAATCCATTTTATCGATCAAAGGCCGAGGAAAATACTCAAAGCCAATATCACAGGTGGCAAAATAGGATCGTGCACTCAAAGCTGCCAAAAATATAAAAAGATACAACAAGTGTCGAAGGAAGAAATCAAGAAGATGTCTTTGTATTTATACATGTGTTCGTTTATAACGACCCTCGAGGGGTCCTTACATATGGTTACATTATATATGATTACAAAAACCCACAGAGGGCCCTTACAAAAATGTGAAGAAGTGATACGCATACAACAGGAGCCTAAAGATCTAGCCTATTCATGCTGCGTCTCCGTCATC